GTCACACACAGTTTTAACTGTTTTTTGACATTAAATACATTTTTAAAAGTTCTACACTCAGTGAATTCGTTATACTGCACAGTGCGATTCTCACCATTCCCACGAGAACGTGTGAGTCAGAATGTTATTTTTTCAACCTAAAAAGCATTAAAAGTTTCCCGCGCAACAGAATGGCAGAAGATAGATAATCAATTCTTGCAATGTTTCCATCGACCATGACTTCATTTCCCCACTAGCCGACGTCAACGAGAGTTTTACATAATTACATAATTTACTATGAGTAAAGAAAGACGTGCCGTTTTCGTTTACAAATAGGCAAGTACACATGTTGTTTATTTATAATTCTAAATAATGATAACTGACGTTATGGGTATGGGAATGTCTCGAAGAAAAATCACTACTGATGCATGCAATGTGTGTAAATACAATGTATTTCTGAAACATTCATATAAAATCATTGTATACATACGCACGAATGTAACAAAAAGGCCAATATTATTTCTGGACCCTCATTTCCAAAAAACTTTTACTACTTTCATAAGACATAGCTCAGTAGTAAGTTAATAAAACTGGGAAGGATAGTGAAATTGTTTGATATAAATTAATAATACATTTAATAAATACAATTGATTTTATGTTGAACCACTAGCAGTTGCCCGATGGATCGGAGAGCCCCTTCCCCAAATGTTCTAAAACAATTAACCAAAATGTTCTTAACCAAATTGTCATGATAAAAAAGGGAAAAAGAGTGACATGTTTATGGAAATAAAATGTTTTATTGGATAAAGCTACGGGAGTCACTTCCAAAATTTTCAGGGGGAAACGCCCTTCACTCCCGTGTGCACGCCTATGATTGCTAGTCTCAGCACTTGCCCCCTCCTTGATGCCATTATTCAGTCAAATGGCAAATTTTGAGGGTGCGAGCCGCCACTGCTTCGGTGATACAAAACTGCCGATTTACGTAAAAAGCAAAATACAGAATTACAGAACCTGAATCCATTATACTGAAAATTGAAAAGCGTAAACTGCACAAGTACCTTTAGAAGTTAGCAAATGGCTGGTGAACAAATATTTACATATTTCTGGTCCACTGTATGGGAAAAGCCAAAACAACATGAATTAGTACAACACTGATAGATAAGAAATGAAGAATGTACACATTTGAACTCATGACACCGCTCCGCATAAATCAAATGGATGTGAAAGCCGTTATAATGAAGGCTTCAATTGGAAAGCTCCTGGCTAGAGTCTTATCCAAAAACTCTGGTTCAATCAATTTTCAAATGAATACAGAAAATATAGCAGCTCGATACAGCGAGAGGATACCAAAACCTGAAAAGATATCACCATTTCTTACCTTTAGTAAAATGTTCCTGCTACTCAAAAGTCAATACATCACTGAGCCCGCTCAATACCTACAAATCATTTGATTGCTCAAAGTCAATCAATATCTGACAGTCGCCACTCCTCCACATTTCTGGCCTTCTCCGGCAGACGGCGTCCCTCTGACGTTTCGAAACTTCAGTATAGTAATTTTGGGTCACTGTGGATCCTTCTGGGAGATACTCGTGATGAACAACACCCTTATCATAAAATATCTGTCTGTATCACCTTGACCTTGTACCGAACTTCTCGAGCTTTTTGGGGTCTGGGGGACGATTCTCCCGTCCACTGGAACGATTGATCCTTTGTTTCAATATCATAACCATAAAACCAGGATTAATCACCGGTCATGATCTTTGATAAGACATTTTTATCTTCTTCTGAACTATCACGCAGTTCCTGGCAAAGCTGGATACGATGGGCTTTTTGTTCCTTCGTCATCAGACACGCCAGGCACAAATTCTGCAGCAACGCAGTGCATCATCACTTTTTCAGTCAAAACCTGGTGACAAGATCCAACTGATATCCCACACTCTTCAACAAGATCCCTGCCAGTCAGATGTCTATTTGCTCACACCAGGATATTGATATTGTCTACGTGTCGCCAATTGAAGTGTAAGGACGTCCGAAACGCTCAACATCCTCAATGGACAGTCGACCATCTTTAAAAAGTTCATGCCACTTGAAACATACCGTACGTTTCATAGCAACCTCTCTGTTAACTACAGCGAAAGTTTCTGTCGCAGATTTTCCTAGTTTAACACAAAATTTTACAGCATACCGTTGCTTTTCAGGTCATTCATTTTGAAATACGCCAAATGAAAAATTCGCACTTCACTAAAAAACACGTAGCTGATAAGAAAATGAAGATATCAACAATCGGGAAATGGCGTCTTAATCAGCAGATCTGATCAAACCTTGCCACATAAAGTGGATTCCCATGGAATAGACTGGAGACGCATAATTCAAACAGTCCGCGTATTTTTTAACAGCTAATGAATTCCCATTTCAAGCTTTTTCTAACAGCCCGTATGCCATGAGATCCGTCTCGTCCCTTCCCTCAGATATATACGCCCGTTTGCACCACAGAGCACTCACACTTGTCTCTGGCTTGCACCTCTCAGGGTAAGCAAGCCCCGACGCAGCCTTGCTTCGCCTGAGAAAAGACCTTCTTCTGAGAAAAGCCCCTACAGTGAGCGTAGAACAGTAGCATGTACGTAAACCAGCGTATTCTGTTGCTGCGCAGAACACTCCGGTTTCTACTCACATGCAAACGTGTTAGTTAACAAGCGAAGAAAGTGATTATTATTCTGGAAGAATTAATTTTTTTCGTTTTAAATTAGAACGCTGTAGAACGCTGTAGATTATTAGTGTTACTTATATTTCGTTTCTTGAGGAGTATTGTGGGCTTGCTGAGCTGGATGAATCAACACTCTGCAAGAAATATTTGTAAATCTGCTATCAAAAAGCTTCAAAACATTAGAGCTGATGTTGGCGATTCCTTTGTCTACATTGCCGTTGATGAATCAACGGATGTTTCGGGTCGCTACATAGCAAATTTGGTAATTGGAAAACTATGTTCCGAGAACGCATCTACGCCACACCTCTTAGCTAGCGAAGTTATAGAACGCACACAATCTCGAGATTTGAGAATGATGGGTAAAAATTATTGTGGAGTGATGGGATGAAGGAAGAAAGAGTGCTTGAAATGTATTCAGATGCTGCAGCATACATGAAGAAAGCAGTTACTTCGCTGAAAGTGAAGAAAACTAAACGACATTTTGGCGAACTTTGCTAGGATCCGCGACTAAATGATGGCCAACAAAAATACAAACTTAATATTTACTAAGGATACGAAGATACTGCCATTAACCAGTTGGAGGAACGATTTGTTGGATTGAAAACTACAGTGGTAATTTTAAAAGTGATTCGACTAGAAGTTTTGATAACTCTTTCGGTCGATGACTTTTACAAAGAGTCACAAAAACGTCAATGGAAACACAATGCAAATGCGCAGAAAACTTGTTTTCTCAGTTATTGTCTTTGCGCGTTTGTTTAAAAAGTCAGATTTAAAAATTAAGAACTGTTTATGATTGAAAACGTATTAATAATAACTGAACATTGTTCATTATTTAGAAGTTTTCCCGATTCTTTAATGAGGCGTAAGGTTCAGTTCGTAGTATTGTTTGGGTTTTTCAAAAATTACACAAATGTTTTTTTTTTTTTTGAAAGATCTCTCACGCCATTTATGCACGTTTCCAGTAATTTGTAAACACTATTGTATTTGTGAGTTAAAGTACTTCAAAAATCACTGCAAATGTAGTTATTCGAAAACTCCAAAATGTTTAGTAAAAAGGAGTTTGAAGTTTCGAATTTACAACGCCGCTTAAGCGCAATTTTCTTTAAAATGGTTGCAAATTTTTCGAAGAAAATTGCAATTTAGGACGAGGATTTACTGTTCTTTAAAATTCATAAAATAATATTTCCATTCTATTATTAAGAAACCGAAAAATTCAAAAAAAAAAAAAAGATATGCTTTGGACAATGATAGATGACAGCTGGGAAGAGTATGTGGCAAGTTCGTATAGCAAGCCGAGACCAAAAGAAATAGTAAACCAATACGGGAAAGTCTGTGTCCTTCTGTAGCACCACTAACTTTTTTTGTTGTTGAAATTTCATTCAATTTATTCAGAAAAATTGTCTCACTGATATCATTTCATTCCAAAGGATTATTATCATGAATCACGCGTAGACGTGATTTCAAGATAATCAGATTCTAAAACAGTGTTCCGAGTTTGGGTTGCTCTGTTCAATAATTGACAAATCGACTACTCTGAGTGGTGCAAGTGGTCCCTGAGGGATGAAACGAGAGACCACATGGCGCTGTCTGTTAGATGCTGATAGAGAAAGCTTGAATTGGAAATATGACTTGTGCCACGATAATGAAATTTTATTGTGCATTCTCGTTTGAATAATACTTACATCATAATAAAATTTAAAGTAATTTTATTTTTATTATTATTATGAAATGTATTAAACTAGTACACATTCATCAGGGTAGGCACTACCTGCCTTGCCTACCCGAAGGCTTTTGGCCTTTGGGTTTTAGAGCCCTAAAATCACTGATCGCAAATTAGTAAATAAAAATTTACCGTCACCCATGCTACCGAAAAAAAGATTAGTTGCTTTGTGTAACCAGATAGCATTGTCCAAATTCAAATTAGCGTCGTCTACAGATTAATGAAGAAGTGACTTGTTCCCAGGAAATCTAATACAGGTTGTGCACATTGTGACTTCTCTTAATATTAATGGATATATTTAATACCTACATAACGTTGTAAATTGTCAGTGTTTCATTTTATTTTGCTGTCTAACATTATCACAGAACATGGAGTATTTTCGTACCCTGCCATAATAAATTGGCACCATTCTTGAATTTATACATGTGATTTCATTCACTCTTATTTTGAGGATAATCAGTAGATTATGGCATATTTTTTTCACAGTTAAGAATTTCAGTTTAATGACGAACATTCAGTTTATTTAATTCCTCTCGTTTGACATGACATGTACTTAATTTGGCAATTGAGATGTCTGTCTTTTAATGTGTCACGTTGGCCAAAATGTGAGAAAACAGGAATACCACAAGTGGAAAAGTTCGTAATAAACTTTCTCACAATGGACAGAGCAGGGTTCCAAATTTAAATTTTTTGCATGTTGCATTGTAACTAACCCCTTAATATCCTTTAGTTGGAATTCCACTTTCTTTACAAAATTAGATGCTTATATTTATCTTCTGGTCGAAAGGTACGAGTTTAAGATTGCTATGGCAACAGAGTATACATAGTAGTTCTGATTGTGTTATGTCATGTATTTGACCATTTGAAAGCATTTGAAAGGGAGGAGTTCGTGTGTGTGGAGTATATCAGTGGAGAACGATTTGGGAATATACAGTGTATTATTACTTTTTGGCGGTTTTTGTGTTTTGTTCGTATTTGTAATATATAAACTATTTTGAGCAATATGGCGTTTAATTTTCCTGCCTTTACTTACATAGTTGCGTTGATTATCGACGTGTGTTTAATTTTCTTCGCAATTTTTCACGTAAGTTATAAAAGATCTTGTGTAATGTAACGATACCGAGTAATTTTTGCATTGTTGATTTTTTAAAATTATTTATAGTGCTTAATGCAAATGTGTAAATGATACATTTACTTTTGTAGGTTATTGCTTTTGATGAACTGAAGACTGATTACAAGAATCCAATCGACCAGTGCAATAGTTTGAATCCCGTAAGTAGATCACTTTAGAAGGCTTTCTAATCTAAGGTAAAGTTTCTGCATTATCAGGAAAATCTAATGTCTTTTATCATAAGTTACTTTTGTAAGTAGCTATATCAGGATTTACTGAAAAAAATAAGTTTAAAGACACATTTTATTCCCCTTTTTTTGTATATAATCCATAAATGTGTTTTAAGCCTTGATTATTGTTTTGGAGGAATGGTTGTAACCTCATTAATCATGCTACAAAGTGGTGGGTGTTGCGAGAATATATAGTAGGTGCTTGTGATGTTTAAGTCAAATGTGTCTCGTTTGCAATCTGTAAAGTTAATATCTGTATATCTCACAATGTTTTGCTTTGTGTGGTTTCTGAAGTATGGTAATATGAACTGTTAAAACAAACTTAAACTTCAGAAAACTGTTTATTGTCCTTCATAATCTTTTGTATTTCTTTCCTGAATTCTTACATTTCACCTCTGTTTAGCTTAATTGTTATGCCTGAATTACTGCATCTGATAAGCGCAGAATGCATTATCTTCTATAAAATTGTGTGCATGTTTGTCTGAATTAATATGAATGCAGAAGTTGCAATGTAGTGAAAAGTTTTGTATTTATTCTGAGGTGTATTGAATGATAGTATTCTGAGGAAAAAATGTCTGAAATTTCCGAAATTAAGTGTAGTACTACATAATCCTATAAAAATTCTGTGTGAAATAATGAAAATGCGCAATTAATGATATAAATTTGTATGAAAACCGAAACTCCAACTTTTCTCTTATCTAATTTGTTAAAATTCTTCAGCATTTATCGAGAAAATGCCTTTTTATATCAAATTTTCCTTTATTTATACTTTTGAAATTAATTATTTTATGAGAATGTGGTACAATACATAGAATTAAGTAAGACTCTGCTCTTCAAATTGTGAATCAAATGCCACCTGTTGCAAGCGTGCATAAATGTCCTCTTTGGCAGTTTGATATTGTTGAGATTAAATTGAATTATGATTTATCATTGAAGACCTATGAATGTTAAAAAATTAACACAATTAAAGAAATGTAATCTTAACAAATTGTTTCAATGGCATTTCATTGCTGGAAAAATTAATTGTATGAAGGTTTTGCGAACCATTTTTATTCCGTGGTATTTCGAGCTTGTAAATTGTGTAATGTTGTTAGCCGCATTTATTTAGCTTATTGCATGATACCCATTTTTGTAAAGCATTATCTTCTTATTGCATTAAAAGTTAATTGGTGTTGTAGAAGCTATGAATTAATTAGTAATCAGTATTACTGACATAAAAAGAAAACAATCGCTGGGCTCATCTGTAAGACATTTTGTGTGACTAATAATGTCAGAATGATATAGAACTTGATAGATTGATATGAATGATTGATAAAATTATTAATATGTTATACAGTAATAATTTCTGATGTTATTTCATAGTTGTAAAGAGATGTTTAATTTCAATTGGCTATTAGGAATAATGCTCTTATTTAATGGAAATATGGAAATATATTTGAATGTAATCATATGAAATTGATTCTTCCATTTTAAAAATCATTTCCAATATTATTAATGAAATTAGAATGGTATTGCATTTATTTAGGATTATATTGACAATTTCTAATTCTATTAAAATAAACTCTTCTAGCAAAAATTTCCACAATTGTAAAGTAGATTTCTATTAACAGCATACTTGCTTTTATATTCTAACTAAATTCTGTTTTATTTTTGGAATATATTTGTGAATATTCTGGCACATGTTGATGGAGAAATTGTTGTATTTGTCTGTTTCTAATAGTGTTATAATTCATTTCAATAACATGATATTTTGAGACTTCAATGGTTAATTTTCCATATTTTTTTAAATACATTTTCAATTGTTTGGTATAATTAAGTATTAAAGGATTTCTAAATCAATTTATATTTTCTTCAGAGTCAGGCTCCATTTGCTTTTGTTATGGGCATGGACACGATGTATATTGTTATCTGAAATGATTATTACATTAATAGAATGAATTAATAAACTTTGAATGTTCTTTTCACTGAAGGTACGTGAAAATGAATTAAATTAATTTTCTTGTAATGTTTAAATTTTAGAAGGCCATATCTATTTTCCATAATGATTAAAAACAGTATAATTTTTCCAAAAGATTTTTACTGGGCTGACTGAACATTTCATATTCTAGACAGATTTAAAATATAACAGTGTTGTAGAAAAAAAAATTAATGAGAATGATGGACTAGTAAAATTGCTTTTGTTTCTCTGCTGTAAATATTCAATAAGCTGTAACTTTCAGTATAAACTGTAAAGTGCTATTTAATAAATACTTTTCAAATAAAGTTCAGAAACGTTTTAAATGTTGACAAACGGAGAAAATAGATACTTTCCTTAAATCACTATGCAAGTTACTTCATTTTATTACTTTTCTGTGTTGATATGGATTAATTCTTTTTACTATTAGTCTAATACACTTAGCCATCTTTGTATTACTGAAATTTGCTATATCCCTTTCTGTGCAAAATTTTGATACATAACTATTGTGGAATATATTTGTGAATAATATGCACAATAATGTTTTGTTTAAGAATTACACCAGAATTTTGCCAATAAAAATTGGAGGTAGTTGTTTTAACAGAAATTACTGGCTACATTACAATAAAATAAAAATCCTAAGCTCCTTTTCTCTTATTATTCCTTTGGTAAGTTAATAGCTCGATCTATGAAAAGTGTTTAATTCGGTGTGAGGTATTTTTTATGGAAAATACTAGAAAGTTTTAGAATTCATCTCCCTCATATCAAGTTGTAAAATAAATTATTTGTCCGCTTTTCTGTTAATACACTGTGCATGTATTATGCAATACTCATTCTTAAAACTTCTAGTTATTTTCAGATGTGAACAGTTTTTTTTAACTTACTAAGAGTTAGTGTATTGTAGCTAGCTTCACCCATATGATTAGTAAGACACGTTGTATTGACTAGATATTTAATTTTCCATTGGAATTTGTATTTTTTAGTTTTAATTTCATTCAATTATATTGCTTTAATTTCTAGACATGTTGTTTAATTTTTTATTAAAGTCTGAATTAATTTGTGGAAATTTATTATCAGCAGATGTACAATCTCTATTTGAATGTTCTCCTTGTTTGTAAGTAGATATGATATACCAATATAAGACATTTCACACATAATTGAAAAGAAAGAGGAAGGGGGAAAAAAACGACTGAAACAGATTAAGGTGTACAAAACAAACTTCCATAGCTGATCTGCATAAGGAAATGATGTGCCTGTACTTTGAATTTTTAAGTAAATTCTATTTCTCTTTTGACTGATACTCATAGTTAGTTAGGAACTCATTTCAGTGACCTAGTCATTTCAAGGAACCATATGTATACGAAGTATGTATCTTTACAATTGTAGTGCCTAAATATGCTGGTTTCACTACTTCAACCTATAAATTCCTTTTTGTACTGTAAAATACAAAATATGCCGTTTCAGTGTAATTGAAAGTTTGTAGAATAAAATAGTGTGTTTCTAGATACTTAGATTGAAAACATATCTAAAACAAACTGATGTTAGCTTTGCGCTGTGATAAAAAAGAAAGATAAAATAATGCACATATCTATTCCAAATTAAAATATGCACTGATCTGATATCAAAAGAGAATTTTCTGTGAATGAAAATGTCATTCATATTTTAGCTTTTACATTTTTTATCCTCCATTTAAAATTGCATGCTCATAGTTTTAATAGATCAGTTTTAATGTAAACAGAAAAATGATGGGAAAGTTATTTTCATGTCAGTTTATTCTGCCTGTTCAAGATTGCTCCTTAAAAATCTGTGATATTCGTTTAAAATAGATTTTTGTCTAAAAATTCGTTTAAAATAAAGTTTTGTCTAAAAATTCTTTAAAATAGATTTTTGTCTAAAAATCCGTAATTAATATAATAGCTAAATAAATAGCCACTCGAGACCCACATTGAACCCGTATGATCGGATTTATTTTTGTTTCCGAGCCCGTGCTTTGAATCGCAATCACACCACGCAGCATTCGTGTGTTGCCATAGTAGAACCACGGCTTAAAAAATCTGTGTCAACTCCTAGCCTAAGGCTTTGTCAAACGAGTTTCGTTGACGCGCGTCACCTGACGCTGATGAGTTATGACGTCAGCTGCGTCAACGCGTGTGCCTGCGCACAAGGGTCTCTTAATGCTTCGTAGATTAACATAATATTTATCTTATGCGAATCGGCACACGAGCGCACTTGGCGACGTGCGTTGTGCCCACAGCGCAAGTATGACGCAAGAAGTGTTTTTTTAATTTTTTAGCCGGTGACACTTTGTTCTCTGATTAGAAAACAGAAAAATTAAGACAATTGTTATTTATGTAAAAGGAAATGATAAATAACATTATGATAACCGTAAACTTACGAGCTTAAAGTTAGCCTTTTTTAATTGATACGATAGTACTAAGCGTTGCAAATTTTTGTGTTTGCCACATTTATAGATTATTCGAATATGCACAATGTGAAAGGACGAGATAGAAGTAGATTGTTTATAATAGTATTTGTTTATTTACCATTTCATATTTTTAACATTAAAAAAAATAAAACGGTATAGCGGACTTTCTTGCTTCCAACCTCTCTTGCGATAATGACTTCGTTTGACACGATCATTTCGAAAAATTCCAACAGTGGTTTCAACATTCTTCGAATTCATCCCATTGTTGTCGATCGTGATGATTGTATGATGTGGATAATATTCTTATGAAAGAAGATGGATTGCAGGAACGTAATAAATTTAACTTAGAAGTAACAAACACACTTCTTTACTGTCAATGTTTTGATCGCTGATTATGGTATTAAAAAATGAAAACTCACTTCACTGTAATAAAAACAGACTTGTGTGAAATTATTATTGCTTTTCTGAATTATGTGCTGCAAATACTGCAATACTTCAATTTATTTTTGTTTGTTCCATTTGTAAAAGTAGGAAATGATTGCT